ACATGAGGAATGAAAGATAGATACTAAGGTCACAGCTGTCAGCAAAATATAAATAAATAAAATAAAATAAGCCATAAGAAGACAAAAAGAAAAAAAACCTGTATATAATGTGTTACACATGGATTTTTTATTTATTTATTTAACCTTTATTTATCCAGGTAAACTGTTTGAGAACCACTTCTCATTTACAAACATGATCTGGCATGCACTGAGTGCATTGCAAAATACAAACCTACATATTCAGCCATGGTAAAGTGATTGTAAATATTAATCGTGATTAAAAATTTTGATCTTTGCCCATGCAGCACTAATTTCACAGCCCTAGTATTTATTGACCTCTGTTGGCAGCTATAAGTAACAACATCACTTACTGATAAACTCCTACTCTCTTCTTGGGTAAATGTCTGAATGCTAAATGATGCAAATGATGACCAGTAGATTTAATTCCTCTCATGAACTGTTTCATCAGGTCTCAGTCAGAAACKCACAGTGGAGATTCCTCCTCTGACAGAGGGAKAGCAGACCAAGCTGACCTGCACGGCTCCTGGTCTCTGCTCTGGGTCTCGGCCTGAAATCACCTGGACGTGGAGAGGAAAGGGAGYGAGCAACTCTCAGATCACAGAAAACATCACAGAGTTCCGCACTGAGAATCTGACTGCACTCACACAGAGACACAGCTCAACTCTGACCTTTAACCTTTCGTCTGAACACCACGGCACCACGATCACCTGCGAGGTCAGCTTCTTAGGTGGCATAACAACAGAGGAGACTGTGATGCTGAACGTGAGCTGTGAGTACTTAACCATTCAAAAGTCTGCCCTTTTCTTGTTTCAGTTAAATAGTTACAAATAATAGAAAAATAGAAAAAAATAGAAACCTTCATCATTGTCCTAATTTGCAGATGTTAGGGAGGTTAAAGTCACCGGAGATATTAACGTAAGAGACGGGGTAACTCTGAATCTGACCTGCAGTGTTGACAGTTTTCCTCCATCAAAAGTTACTTGGACTAGATTTGGCGATGAAATCAGTTGCAGGACATCATTTCAGCTTGTCTGCAGGAAAAGCCCAGAGTCAGCTCTGTTTCCATCTCTAACATGACAGTCAGTGTTTCTGGGCTTTTACGTCTGCACAGCAGAGCACGTGACCGTAACTCTGTCAAAGAGAGTTAACGTAACTGTGACATGTGAGTACAATTAAATTTAATTATAAAACAACTTCCAAAGATCTACATTTCTAAATATTCTAATATTATCCCAGCAACAAAACATTTCCATTTTTCTTTTCACGATGTAACTTTAAAATGTAAAAATGTAAAACACTCATGCTTCCTTTTTTAGTCAGGCGCCAAGTCATAAATAACTGACTCAATAAATGCAGGAAGTTTCATCATTGTGTCTAGTAAAAACACAAGTACTTTGTGTAACAAAAGAAAGACGTTGTTAGGTGAAACACTGCAGCATGTAACAGATTTTAATTTGTTTTGTTGCTTTGAAAACATAAATTTTAAATTTACAAATGACTAGAAATCTATTTTATATGGGCTATTCAACTAAATCCGGGGGCTGGGGTTATTCAGTGGGGTGGGTACCCGGTAATGTTAGGTGAAACACTGCAGCATGTAACAAAACGAGAAATGTCTTTTACGTTTTAAATTAATTTTGTTGCATTCAAACACAAATTTTACATTTACAAATGATTTGAAATCTACTTTTATATTAAATTAAGTAAAAGAAAAAATTTTTTTGGGCGGGCCAGATGGAAATACCCATGGGCCAGATGTGGCCCGTGGGCCACCAGTTGAATAGCTCTGATTTAGATGCAAATCCATACAGAACACATAATAACTGCTTATCTTTTGTATTTTTGAACCTTTATCTCACTTTCAGTGCAGCTGTTGTCAAACATCAGCTGTTTTTAGATATTTTTCAGACAATTTTTACATTTTTGCACTGAACTGGATTTTTAAAAAAACTCAAATAAACAATTGGTTTCAGGACCAAACAGTAAACCATGTGGCTGATTGAAAAAAAGGATCTAATCAAAGGCGATAAAAAAAAAAACAAATCTCAACATTTGCAGGATGTCTTTGAACCTGAGAGAAAAAGATAAACAGAGAGAAATAAATCTGGTCGCGGCAGAGATGAGCTGAATTTATTCAGAGTTCGGCTTCTGTGCATGGATATCGAGCTGCACATCTTTATTCATGAGAAGGAAAATAAAGAAATATACTGTGAAAGTAGTTTGCATTCATTTGAGCTGAGAAGCCGGAGCGGAATATTCGTGGATTATCACCACTAAAATGATTTCTACGGATGAGAATGAGCTTTGAAAAATATTTCCCCTTCAGGCAAACAAAATGCGAATGCCAACTTCTTTTTTAAATTTAAATTTGCATCCGAGTCCCTCCAAATCAGGAAATCACTTTCGCCGACTTCTTGTGTTTACAAAAAACACAAGTTTCCAAGCGGCTGCGATGAATTTATATTTGGTACATGTCACTGTGCTGGCAGCGGGCCCTTTCACAAGCTTGCCATGCCCCGCCCTCCTCCTGTTTCCACAGTGATTGATTTGCGTTTTAATGGCTTCCTGTGTTGGGCACGGCACATCTGTAGGGGTGGATTGACCTTCTCGGGTCTGTTTTGCTGCGCTCCGTTCCTCTGCGGTGCAGTAAAGTGAAGTATCTGCCTTTTCTGTGGCCTGGGAGAGTGACGTGCTCCATTATAAAAAGAAAACCAACTCCAATGAAAAAAAAAAAAAAAAAACGGGTCCTGACGGGCGTTGGTTGCTCCGTGGATTACAGCGCCTCGAGGGATGCAGCCGAGCCTCTGATGTCGAGGAGCTAAAAACGGAGAACAAAAAGCAGCCGGCCTCGGAGTGATAAACTTATACTGAGGGTTAATGTCAAGAGGGTAGTTCAACTTCCAAACAGTCACTTCTGAGTCTTTACAGCTGCTGCCGAGGATCAAATTTAGGTTGTAATTTAGTGAATTACAGAATGAATCAGTCTGCTGTAACAGTCACAGATTTGGTAAAACCAGCGTCATCGTTTATCATAGAAACCTAATCTTGTGGTCATTAAGCTTCAAAGTCACAAATCTGCAGCCAATTACTTGACATTTAAAAGAATAATGAGTCAAAGTAAAGACAAGGAAGTTATTTAGGAGGGAAATTAATTAAAGGTAGCGGCTGTTGTATTTTATGGAGGACCGAAACTGTCAAAATTAGAAATAAAATCAGAAATGTATAAATGAACCAATAAATAAATAAATATACTTAAAATGCACCAGTTAAATTAAAAAAGGAGAACATTACCTTGTGTTTTATAGTGTAATTGACCTTCATATTTATTTTTTCCAGCTTAGTTCCAATAAATTATATATTTTAGCACATGAATTACATTTTACTTTTTAAAAATGTATATTTTTTGTTTTTCCTTTTACTTGTAGATGCATTTGTCTCTTAAATGAATATATTTAAGAAAGGCGAGGAAGAAAACACTTACTTGTCCCTTTATTTTAAACTAAACTTTAAACTAAACTGAGGCAGCACAAGCATGCACAGTAGATCTGCACATGGATCCTGCTCCTTCCTGTCTGTTAACCAACAGAGGAGCGGACCCAAGGAGCCCCGCCCACCTTATTTACATAATAGTAAAGTAAAAACAGAAGACAGAGAAATGAAAAAGCAACACATGGAAATAAAAAGACTTGTGGGACAAAAAATAATAATAATTTAATATATTCATATAAAAGACACAGATGCATGTACAAGTAAAAGAAAAAAGAATAATAATTTATTTTTAAAAACAGTAAAATGTAAATTATGTGCTAAAATAAATAATTTTTTGGAACTAAGCTGGAAAAATAAATACGAAGGTCAATCAAATAATAAAACACGATGTTAAGTTGTCCTTTTTTAATTTAATTGGTGCATTTTAAATGTATTTATTTATTTTTTGGTCCATTTATATATTTCCGATTTTATTTCTAATTATGTCAGTTTCAGTCCTCCGTAGCATTTTGGGTTAGAACTGTAAAACAAAAATGTAAAAATTAAACTGCAGCTAGAAGATAATTAGGATTAGCTCACTTTGCTTTAATTGTTGCCCCAGCATTAAACGTTATAACACCAACGACAGAACTTTGGTTTCTGCAAACATCCTAATCCCAGAACCAAATCTATTCCGACCTACGCCTTGAAAATTACAAGCCGACATCAGAAGGCGCTGCCTAAGCACAAAGTCCCAGCAGGTTAAGGGGCAGAGCGCACCTGTAAGGCTGACATGAAACATAAAAGCACATCCCAAAAACAAAACCTCAGCCAAAAGACACTTCAGAAGTCTTTCTTCCTAATCCAGGGATGTGAGGCAGATCTGAGATACGGGAAAAAAAGTCCCACGTGAAAAGCAACAAGCTTCCACAGAAATTTGCATGTACTTGTGCTTGAACGTGATTGAACTAATTACGCCGGGTTGTTGAGATGTTAAGCGAGCGTAAACATTGGAGGCTGGAGCAGGTCCCTGCAGAGACGAGAGAAGGAAAAAAAACTACTTTTATCCAAACGCAATTAATCAGCATCTGACTCTGCAAACAGACAGCAGCTTGCTCCACTGCCTCTCTGGTAAGAAGCTGACTGACAGACGAAAGCAGGAAAATTAGCGCTCAGTTTGGAGATTAGATGGTGACTGAGTCAGATATTAATGGGAGGGAGAGGGTGTTCGTTTCATTGCTTGGTAACAGCTGAAGATTTTGCACAGAAGAAAGGAAAAAAATGATTGATTTATGTAAAAAAATTTAAAAAAAAGGTCTTGTTGATTTACGACACTGCAGAACAGTCGATGCATGCAGGAGCGAGTAATGAGTGCAGCATTGCACAACAGCAAGTTGGGAAACCGAGTTCACATGTTTCCAAAACTTCAAAGCCTCCCATGTGCAGCGAGGCCAGGTTATTTCAATTAGTTTTCAACTAGGAACATTTCCCCTCCGAGCTGGACCCCCACCCATCACTCCCAGAGATGGGCCGCAAGAGAACCTGCCACTCCGTTTCCTTGTAGCCCTCCGAGGGCTTTGTTTCAAAGATGGAACAGTGAGTCAGGATTAAAGCAGAAAACAGGACCACGGGGGACTGAGATGATCTGATGGTGCACGTTGCTTTATAACAATAATAATATGAATGCATTTTATTTATAAAGCACCTTTCAGGACACCCAAGGACACTGTTCAACAGAAAAGAAACAACTGTTAATACATAGAATGATAGGGTTGTGGGGAAGAAACATAGAAATGAGGACTACAAAACAGTCATATATTGAAGTACAATGACCAGTCGGTCAATCAGTGTTAACAGTAGGCTAATCTGAAAAGATGCGTCTTCAGGCCAGTCTTAAACAGGGAGAGAGAGGTTGTATTGCGTAATCCATGGGGTGGTGAGTTCCAGAGCAGCGGAACAGAGCGGCTGAAAGCTCTGCTCCCCATGGTGCTGAGGCGGGCAGGGGGTACTGAGAGTTGGAGGGAGGAGGTAGATCTTAGAGAGGTGTGGAGGTCAGATAGGTAAGGAGGTGAAAGATTGTGGATAGCTTTGAAAGTGTGTAGGAGAATTAACTGGGAGCCAGACCCCATGTGTCAAACTCAAGGCCCTCCACAGCATTTTATGTGGCCCCTGAGAATGTCAAAGATGTATTAATGTCTTAAAAATAAGTGTATGATGCTTTAAAGCCAGCAACGATCAAAAACTACATCTACCATAATGCATGTTCATTATTTTACCTGCCAAATTACATTATCCCACCAGTAGGTGGAGCTGCACAGGGTTCAGAAGTAGACAATAAAATTCATTGTGTAAAATCTACATTTAACTTCATTTTTTCTGGCTACTTTTGCTGCAGCCTAGTTGTACTGTGAAGTGGGAACTTCCCATTTACAAGTTGTAAATTTAAACTGCAGTGCCCCTCCATTGGGAATTCCCTGTCAGAGAGTGGGAGGGTTCAGAATTTAAGATGGCTATTAATTAGCACAACTCATCATTTTATTAGTATTTCTGTTGTACACAGTACTTTTCAGTGTTTACAGGAGGACGTGTTCAAACTCTGTTTCTATGCAGGAAATACCAGGTAGAGCTCAGTTATTGTTTGTTAGCGGTGCTCTGCCGTGAGACATTTTCTTTTTCGTCAAACACAAAACGTCCAAGATATGTAACCCGGATGATGCATCAAATTCAGACGGGGGGCAGGAAGTGATTTGCTCAGTGTCAAAACAACAAAATGGATCACAGCAAGAACGCTAATGCCCTAAATGTTCTGGCGCAGATGAGAAATCGCAAAAAAAACCTGCGTACATTTAGGATTTGATCAGCGTTGCCTTGATAAAAAAGACATCATATAATCTCGAGGATTTATCGGCATCGAGGCGATTGACATAAACTACAGTATCTGTTGCTGCAGAGCTCATATTCTACAACGAGTCAGATGAAAGCTTTCAAAAGCCTCAAAACTGCAATTATTTACCGTATTTTTCGGACTATAAGCCGCGACTTTTTTCCTGAACTTTGAACCATGCGGCTTATAGACCGGTGCGGCTTATACATGGATTTTTTTCTTCAGCCACCAGGGGGCTCTTATGCTCCATTCGCTTCAACCACTCGCTTCAAAAAAAGAAAAGAAAAAAAAAGAGAAAAAAGCGATCGCTTCCAGAGCCAACTGTTGTACCAGGAAGCAGCGATTTAAAGATAGTCAATGGCCAAAAACTCATAAAAGGGGATAAAACAGACATTTTTCACGGTGGAATCTGACTGATAAAAACTTTGGAGCTTAATCCAGGACCAGTTTTTGGATAAACAACGTCGAGTGAAGAGCCGCAGACATTTTTTCCCGCATTACACTCCCTGGGGAAGGAATCCCATGCAGTGACGTATGCTGGAGTGGGAGGGGGTTCCCAGCAGCTCGGCTCGGGGTGTCTCGGGAACTATGAAAGGTCAGTGCGAATATGAACGCCGAACAACCACGTGACGGCGCGTCGACCGGTTGACTGCCGAGCGAGCGTACTGCCAGCTTAAGTCTCTTATTTCAAACCCTTTTCCAAGCAGAATATGTGAGGAGAAACTTTAAGTGTTTGGACTGAATAAGCAGGAAATAATAAAAATTGAGCAAGAACGTGGTGTAGTTAGATTGTGTTGGTGTTACCTTTATTTTTGA